GGCTGCCCAGATCATCAGGGAATCAAAACTTTGTGTGCTGGGTATGCCAAGTAACAATCTAAAAAGCTGCAAATGGTGGATTGTGATTGGAAGGCGGACTCTAATGTTGTAACACAAGTTACAAGTGTAACATTTTGTACAGATTTAACTGGAAACCATGCCGGATATGGTAGTGACAGATTGCTGCTAAGTATGTTTTAATAGAAGGATATTTGATAGATTTAGCACGAGATGTAACAAATTCTGTCAACAGCAATTCATCAGCTGGTAGACACTGCTCAATATGTTTTTGCTTGTATAAACGGATGAATGTTATTAAGCGTTTTTCTCCAGAGCTATAAGTTTGTTGTTTTGTAGGTGCAAGAGATAAATTGATGTTATGCTGGATGTCTGCACTCAGAGAGTCATTAGAATTTTTAGAATTTGGCAAGGTCTGATGTCTGCCTGCAGAGCCAATTGTTGAAACCTCTGAAATTGAAAACGAGAAATTGCATTGGCTATGTCATTGTGTTTACCAGGAATATGCACAGCACGGATGTATATATTGTGTTGCAAGGTTAGGAGTGTTAGATGATGCAGTAAGTCCATAACCCTGGGGATTCGAGAATGCTTAGTATTAATAATGATCACTACAGCCTCATTATCACAATGGAACTTAATCCGGTGGTCCTGAAGGAGGTCACCCCAGATATGACATGCTACAACTACTGCAAAGAACTCTTGCCAATATATACTATAACCAGGCTTGCCTAGTTTTTGATGTGGTTGCCATGCTCCCTGAAACCACTTCTTCCCAAAAATACCCCCAAACCCCAATGTGCCAGAGGCATCAGTATGTAGCACTAAAGTATCAGAGTCATGCCACTCTGATGACAGAAAGAAATTTGCCCCATTCCAGTTAGAAATAAATTTCTTCCACATTTCAAGATCTTGGAAGAAACCAAAATTCAGCTTAATGTGGTGATGTGGTTTCTTGATGTTAGAGCAATCATGCGTTGTAAGAAGGCTCAGGGGAACTACTTTACATGCAAAGTTTAGGGTGCCTATTAAGGCCTGCAATTCTTTTAGAGTACAAGACCGTCTATGTTGAAATTGCTCAAAGATGGCATACAGCCGCTCAATTTTGTCTGGAGGTAGCCTGGCTTTCATGTTAATGGTGTCTAATAGGATGCCTAAGAATTAAATTACTTGTGAAGAGCCTTGTGTTTTCCCTGGGGCTATTGGGATCTTGATGTTTTCGAAAGTAGATACCATTTTTTTCAAACTTTGTTGGCAAACCCTTTTCAAAGGTGGTGTAACTGCTGGGGGTTCGATGGGAAGAAAATCATCGAGAATGTGACATACAAATGAGATGTTACATTTATGGAGGAGAATCCACTCAAGTGCATCTGAAAATCAGTTAAAGATGGATGGAGCACTCGCGTGCGTTTATGGTGTGATAATGCATGCAGGGAAGGTTGGGAGAATACGAGAGTATTCACCCAACATTCCCCAAGTGCATTATCACACCACGAACACACGAGACGAGTTTTTCTATTTCTTTTATAATATAAGTAGAAGATATTACATAGTAAACAATTTTACTCAAAAGATCGACGTTGAAATTCTCCTAACATGTACTCAGTGACATCACGTGCATGCTTTTACTGTCGCTTGAATTTTTAAGCAAACGAAGGAGAAAAATTGCCAAAACAATATACAAAATTTTGATGCTATAAAGCCGGAAAAATTGTTTAAAATAGTGGAAATAAAAATGCAGTGACACACAGACTAATTTGCCAAAGTTTTTCAGCATCTGGGCTGCTGGATTTGCCATGAAAGACGGTAAATCATGTCTTGCATGCCTGACTTTCTCACAGTTATTTATATATGAACAACAGCTGTTCAATGATAATAACTCTCACATGAATCAGCGACATGCAGTTCATTGTATATATTTATTTCTTACTGTATAATAGAGGGAAATTTTTTTGCAAATTTTATATAAGATTTTGGGTAATAAATATGTTCGGGTAATAAATATGTTTAGATAAAAAATGGTTGCTCAAGTGAAGTGATTAATTTACTATAGATAATAATTACAAACTATTCACAGTCAAATTTACAAACTATTTACAAATATAGTTACTAATAATTTACAAACTATTTACAAATAGTTGCTAACAATTTGCCAACTATTTACAATTTAATTTACAAACTATTTACAAATAGTCGCTAACAATTTGCAAACTATTTACAATTTAATTTACAAACTATTTACAAATAATCACTAACAATTTACAAACTATTTACAATTTAATTTACAAATAGTTGCTAATAATTTACACACTTTTTACAATTTAATTTACAAACTATTTACAAATAATCGCTAACAATTTACAAACTATTTACAAATAGTTACTAATAATTTACAAACCATTTACAATTTAAAGTGCTTATGAAATAAAAATTTGTCTCATTTTTTATTGTTTTATTAAAAAGTACTGTTCATATGATGAAGAATGACGTTTACAGTTTATACATATCTCATCTCAATCCCAAGTTATTGCACTTTGTATATTTTGAGTTGTGATGTCACAAGAAGGAGTTGAGATAATGGCAATAACAAGAAAGTCTGATATCTTGGTGAGTATTTAATAAAATACAATGAAACTTGGCACACTTAGTGGGTGTAACAAAGTCAACAATTTGGCTTGTTTATATCGTTGTATGGCAACACATTCGTCCCCAGCCCCTTCTCTTCCAATTTCTGTGTGATGTATTGTGTGTGAGGTATTGTAATCAGTTTAAACCGTTATAACATGCAAACATCCTCTGCCAGAGCACAGAATATATACAGGACCAGAAGTGTCACTCCTATGTGTTTTGGCTGAAGAAAAACATCCGAAATTTTTTTGCGTGCTATGACGCCATCCTGGAGTGCACCCGGCACTTTGTACCTATGTTTTCCTATGAAAAACTTACGTGTGCAGTCCAGGATGGCATCATATGATGCGTATTTTCACGTCAGCACTCGTAAAATTTCGGACAAAATATCGTCTGAGTGACACTTCTGGTCCTGTATCTATTCTGTGGCCAGAGGTCTACAGGAAGACATTTGTAAAAAAGGAAGAGACTGGGGACTAGTCTGTTGCCATGGCAACCACATGACCTTCATAAATATTCATATGGTGCACCCACTAAGTGTGTCAAGTTTCATAGGCAGCCCAAAATTCCATGTTTTTTGACCTTAAATAAATCAATTTTATGCATAATATTCCTTTCATAGCTGGTGGAATTGATAATTTGTCGCACGATAGTCGGTCAATCTCATGTGATGTTTGTGTAGTCGTATCAGTTTAATATATTCTCTCAAGGTTGACAACTCGGTGAACAAAATATAAACAAATCATCAGCTGTTAACGTAAGCACTTTAAAAACCTGCAAATATCTTGTAAACAAATAGCAATAATAAAACAAAATTTGTTTTATTATTGCTATTTGTTTACAAGATGTTTGTAGGTTTTTAATGTGCTTGCGTTAACGGCCAATGATTTGTTTATATTTTGTTCGCTGAGTTGCCTACCTTGCGAATATATTAAACTGATACGACTACACGAACGTCACATGAGATTGACCGACTATCGCGCGACAAATGATCAATTCCACCAGCTATGAAAGGAATATTATGCATGAAATTGATTTATTTAAGGTAAAAAACATGGAATTTTGGGTTTCCTATGGTTTAATTGAATTTTATTAAATACTCACCAAGATATCAGACTTTCTTGTTATTGCTATTATCTCAACTCCTTCTTGTGACATCACAACTCAAAATATACAAAGTGCGATAACTTGGGAATGGTTTGAGATACAAATAAACTGTAAACGTCATTTTTCATCATTTGAGCAGTACCTTTTAATCAAACATTAAAAAATGAGGCAAAAATTTCGTTTCATAAGCACTTTACAAAATATTTACAAATAGTCGCTAACAATTTACAAACTGTAGTGTTTATATAATAAGTTTAATCACGTGTGTAAGGTAATAGAACCCGGATGACCACGAGGGACTGGATCTGGTTCAGTTTGTAAGCAACAAATTAAGTAAGCAATAAAAAGCTAAAGACAAAACACCACACTGGCGATGAGCGATTGAGATCTAAGCCCCTACAATCGATTTTGGCAATTAAACATGAATAATTGTTGAATAAAATCAAGAAAAACAGGAAACATGGCAGTAGCTTTACGGCATTTTGCTGAATTTGATGTTCATTTGAATTGTGCAATCGGCATTCATTGGAGGAAATGGCTCACTCGATTTAAAAATCTCCTGCTAGCATTATATGTAGACGACACTAAAAGACAGAGAGCTCTTTTACTGCACTATGCTGGAGAAAACGTGAACGAAATCTTCGAAACATTGCCCAACACAGAGGCTGGAGAGGACGAAAACCCGTTCGAAAAAGCAGCGACGGTGTTAACAAACTATTTTACCCCCAAGAAAAACCGAGAATACTAAGTATACGTATTTTGTAAGGCCAAGCAAGAAAATATTTCCGCATTTCGCACTCGTCTGCGACAACTAGCGATGAATTGTGAGTTTGCTGACAATGACAGAGAAATTAAAACACAAATTGTGCAAAACTGCCTATTGCACAAACTTCGTATGAAAGCGTTACAAAATCCGGAACTTACCTTAACTCAGCTACTGGACGCCAGTAAAGCCATGGAAATGTCAAAATCCCAAGAAGAAACCATCAAAGAGAGAAACAAAACATCAACACACTGTTGAGGAAATACATGCGAAGAGCTTCAAAACAAAATCAAAATGGCAGGCATGTTGACAGAAATTCTGATGGTGCGAGAACAGCCGACCGGAATTCCGTACCCGGCGCGTACCTCCAGCAAGAATAGAGAGATGGGCTCTCCAACTTCAGCCTTACCAACTGACAGTCTGTTACCGAAAAGGAGAAGGAAACCCTGCAGATTACTTGTCACGCCACCCCTCCAAACAACCAACCACAGCTAGCTGAGAACAGAAGATCGCAGAAGAGTACGTTAATTACATCACTGTGACCCCAACTCCAAAAGCACTAATGATCCAGGAAATTGAAGAAGCTACCAAAGCTGATGCGACCTTGCAAGCAGTGTCCAAGGCAATCGAGACCGGTAATTGGCAAGAAGGACCTAAGCAATCGGATGTGGTCAGTGTAGCTTATACTGCGTGGCAAAAGGTAAAAGAGGAGTTGACAGTAGGTGTGACAGCCCAGATAATTCTTCGAGGGACAAGAATAGCTGTCCCCAGAAAACTACAAGAGCGCATAGTAAACTTAGCACATGAGGGACACCAAGGAGTCGTGAAGACAAAGTCACTTCTGCGTGAAAAAGTGTGGTTCCCTGGCATCGACAAATTGGTAGAAAAGAAAGTCCAGTCATGCTGTGTGTGTTTGATCTCAACTCCAGAGTCTAAATGTGAACCTCTCAAAATGTCTCCACTACCGAAAGCCCCATGGTCAGAAGTTAGCATGGATTTCGTGGAGCTTCCAAACAGCGAGTATCAAGATATCCGGTCGTCGAAACAGTCAAGTCTACTTCAGCCAACACGGTAATTCTGAGGGTACACAAAGTGTTCTCTGAATTTGGAATACCTGACGTAGTAAAGACAGACAATGGACCCCCTTTTAACAGCTGTGAATTTCAGTTATTTGCGCAGACTCTCGGTTTCAAGCATCGAAAGATCACTCCTCGATGGCCAAGAGCAAATGGCGAAGTTGAGCAATTCGTGAGAACGATAAAGAAGGTGGTCAAGACGGCGACAGTAGAGCACAAGAACTGGAAACAAGAGATGCATTGTTTCCTCAGAAACTTCAGAGCAACTCCTCACACAACGACAAAAATTCACCCAGCAACTGCATTGTCTGGTCGGGCACTAAAAACGAAGTTACCTTGAGGAAAATGATCGCAAGGCCAAGTCGAAAATGAAGAGATATGCTGATTCCAAAACCTATGTTCAACCTTCAACAATCCAGGAAGGTGATACAGTGTTCGTCAAGCGTGACGATTCGAAGAGAAAGAGAGATCCACCCTACCGACCTGATTCATACGTTGTTGTACAAAAGGATCCATGGTGACTGCAAGAAATAACTACGCAACAATCACCAGAAATTCGTCGTGTTTTAAGAAAGCACGCAGCGACAATGGCGATGATGAAGAAGCAAGTGACGGAGAAGACGCTGGTCAACAAGAATATAAACCCAATGCAGTGACAGTCGAAGCTATCCCAGAAGAGTGAGAAAGCGTCCTACCAGATATGGAGAACAATTTCATTGAAGATGCGGAGAACATTGTTTGGTTGAGGATTTTTATAAGACTTTATTTAGTTTTGTTGATATTATTCTTACATATGTCTTTCCTACTTAAATGAATCTAAGGTCGGACACGAAGTAATGTTAGTTTCTATGGAACTGCATAATTTTAGTTCTGAATGTTTAATGTTTATTGGTCTTTTTAGCCGTCAACCTCTCAAGGACGACCTCGCAAAGAGTTTTAATTTAATTAATATTAAAGCTGGATTCTTTCACCGTGATGTCATGCCAAAAGGTGTCTTTTCTATTTTTAGAAAGTTCCCGGCTCTATTGATGATTTGTGATTCGGTAATATTAATTACAGTTGTATATTTGATTATTTTGTTAGTGCTCAATAAGTTTGAATTTGTTCTGAGAAAACAGTCAAACTTCAGACCAAACTTCTACGAAGTTACTTAGTTAGTAGTTTAACTGCCCATCACTTTTAAAACAGCAAGAAGATAAAGACAACCTGTATGGGCGAGTTAATCCATGAAATAAATAGTTGGTTTACAAAATGAATTCCGTCTTTGTGGATAAAAATTAGTTATAAATAATCTCTCCTGTATGTGTTAAATGCTACATATAGGGATTTCCCCCGGTATATACCTTCTCTTTTGTATCATTGTTTCTGATTACTTGTCTCTTGTCACTGGGTCATGTGGTGCCAGCAACTCTAATCCAGCCGATTCAGAATGCGTTCTTCTTAATGATTGTGATAAAAGAAATCAAGGGACACCTGACGTTGCACGACGTTAGCTAGGATTCCAGTTTGAGAACAGAGTGTCGTCTTTCACCTGCATGAGCCGATTAGTTCATTATTCTCTACCTGACATTCTGACATATACTTTTGATCCAATTTCAATTAAATTTATCCAACCATTTCTGGATGATACATTTACAACACAGGCAGTACTCCGGGCCAAAGAAAAATCAAGAAAGGCAGGCCAACTTTCCCAGAGGGGGCCCCGGAATGGTGGAATTGTGCAAAGTGTTAAATATTAAGGAATATTCTGAAAATTGAGGTCGAAAAAGGTCTGAAAAGTATTTTGAACCCCCCCCCCATTATCGCAAAATTAATTTATTTAATTAGACTGAGTTCCTTATCAGCATTTTGAAATATCCCTGTTACAAATAGAGTATTACTGCCAGGACGTGCCAAGCAATATCTGGTTGGGGGTGGGTGGATGGTGAACTTAAAAAATTGGGCCTCCTTCCTTTCAGGGCCCCCCTCAAAATATTTTCTGGTAAGCAAAAATTTTACAGTAAAATGTAAAGGGTGGGAAGGGGGTGGGTGGGTGGGGTGGCGGTTTTGGGGGAAAATGTTCCAAAAATTATTTTTGCGATAATGGGGGGTTCAAAATACTTTTCAGACCTCAATTTCAGAACATGTTGTGCAATTCCAGCATTCCGGGGCCTCCTCTGGGAAAGTTGGGCCCCCTTTGAAGTGGACTTTTTTTGGCCTGAGTACTGCCTGAGTGTTCTACATGTATCATACAGAAATGGTTGGATAAATGTAATTGAAATTGGACCAAGAGTATATGTCAGATAACGCGTAACCACAAACATTAATACTTCATACAGCCTACATTCTGACCAAGTTTGAAAGATTTTGAATTTTCTCATTTTACATGTCTTACCTGACTATTACACATGATGTGCCAACTTTGGCGCCAAAAAATTAAACTCGAGCTAAGAACATGCTAGGAACTTTTTTGAAGAGATTGTGCTGTAAGGATCTCATAACTGTAAAAACATTGAAAATACGCCAAAACAGTGCAAAGATATGGTGCTCAAAATTCTGCAAAATCCGCCATTTTTTCAAATTTTGAATCGCCATATCTTCGCACTGCCTTGTTGTATTTTCAATATTTTTACAGTTTTGAGATTCTTATAGGGCATTCTCTTCAAACTATCATGTTTATAGCTCGTGTTTAATTTTTGGGCACCAAAGTTGGCACGACATTTTCCCGCCAAAATGTAACAAAATCGAAAAACAAAAAACATACGATTTTTAGGAATGTCAAGTTCTATCCTGTGAGGAAGTTTAGTGATATTCCAAACTAACGACAGAAAGTTATTTCTTGGCCCATTCTCGTGGCCTAATTTGCTGTCTTGTTTGCCCAGCGTGTTACAGACAACCAGTCTTAAGACATTCCACAGGACATAAATCAAAGTCATGCAGAATGAAAACTAACTTTAGGAGTGTCTCCTGGTCTTGATGTCTTAGACAGACCAGGGAGAATAAAAGATACTCCTTCTGGTCGAAAGGTGCGATACCTCAAATCTCTTTTTGCCAAATCAGAAGATCGATCTGGTGCAGTCAGACCAAGAAGCATCACTAACTTAAATGACAGAAGTTTCAGGTCTAATTCCTCATTCTTTCCCAATGACTTAATAATTTTCAAAATTTCAGACACATTCCAAGTAAAAGAATACTTGGGTTCGGGGGGCATAGCTTAGAAATCCCTTTTTAACAATTGAGTAACTAAAGGGTGTTAGAACCTACTTGGTTCCTGTCCACTTCTGGCAATATGGAAGGTGAAGCTGAACGGTAAACATTCAGAGCCCTGTATGCTTTCCCCTCTTGAAACTGGTCTTTTAAAAACTCCAGAACAGAACTCACTGGAACTGAAAGGGGATTTATTTGTCGTTGACAACACCAGCTAACCCATTTGTTCCAGGCAGAAGAGTACGCACTTAAGGTGTTTCTTCGCCATGCTGCCAATAAAATGTCTTGAATTTCCCCTGAAATACCTGTTGTTTGGTAGCATTGGCTGACAGCAGCCACCCAGCTAGTTGAAGATTGGTCAGAAGATGAGTCTGATTGTCTTTCATTAAAAGCTCTTGAATAATTGGAAATAGAAACAGCAGGTCACTGCTAATTGCAATAGTGCTGGGTACCAGGGTTGTGCTGGCCATACAGGAGCCACTAGAACCAACTGTTCGACCCTCTGGGACATTACATGGCACAGACAATGACCGATTAAGGCAAATGGGGGAAAAAGCATACCCTTTGATTCTCCCCCAATTCATTAAAAAGGAATCGGTTTGAATGGCCCATGGGTCTGGTTTCCAGCTCACAAACTGTGGTAATTGGCATGCCAGTTGAGACACAAACAGATCTACTTCCAAGGGCCCCCATTTCTGTGAAAGTGCCCGTAACAGGGTTGGATTCAATTTCCGGTTGCTGGGATCTATCACTGCCCTGAATTCCCTGTCCGCTCTTAGATTCAGAACCCCTGGAAGATGTTCTGCTGACATCTGAATCTTGTTCTCGAGACACCATGTCCATAAATCTATTGCCAAATTCACTAATGATTGGGAATGGGTCCCCCCCCCCATCTTGTTGATGTATGCCACTGCTGTGTTGTTCATCAGCAGTTTGACATGTGCTACCACTTTGGTTTTGCAAAATGTTTTGATGGCAAAGGACCCTGCAAGAAGCTCTAAGCTAGTATATTGTTCCTGTTTGTGGTCACCATACACAATTAAGAACCGAGCTCTCATTGAAAACATTCAAAGAAGAGCCAGAAAGTTTATATTAAATTATCCACCATTGGAAGTCTCATACCTGGACCGACTCGTACACCTTCACATGTTACCTCTTGAGTACCACAGAGAATTGAGAGACCTTCTATTGTACAAATTTAAAAACGGGATGATGTTCATAAACTCTGACTACTTTATTCCAAAAACTAGTTATTACCGAACATGAAATTCTGAGATAAATAATTTGTTATCTTTAGCTACACATAAACAAACCTACTTCCAGTCTTCATACTTTCCAAGGGCAGTTAGAATATGGAATGACTTACTGTCAAGTTTTAAGGAGTTAGAATATGGAATGACTTACTGTCAAGTTTTAAGGATTGTCCTTTTATTTTGTCTTTAAATTTTTACCTTTAATTTTGGCTTGCCCACTACCATGCTAAATTGGCAACCTATACTCCACCATAAGTCCCCTCGAATTTACATGACTTACTATTTTGTGTAACCCTTTTTGTAATAAACCTGTATAATTTATGGCTTTTTATGTAAAGGGTGCCATTATCAGTTGGGAGTTATCCTGTTACTGCATTCTGTCACTACGGTTGTTTGTAACATTGTTTATGTATTTATCTGTAATATTGTGACAAAACTTATTAAATTAAATTTATGTGAAGCATTTTCTTCTGCACACCAAGGGCTTCCCCTACTTACCCCTTCTTAATATGCCCCCAACCTTTTCGGGAAGCATCTGTTTCGATAATCAAGTCCACTGGCTAATCAAGTCCACTGAAACAGTGCCTGGCCATTCCAACTCTGAAGGTGGTCTCTCCACCAAACAATTTCCTCCTTTTCTTGAGCACGACTAATGCTTCGTATGAATTCAGGGTGCCCAAGCCTACACTTTTTAGCCTCTGAAGGTGCCTGTAGTGAAGAGGGGCTGGAAATACCGCCTGGATAGAAGAGGTTAGTAGGCCCAAGAATTTTGATAATTCGTGAAGCGAGATCTGTTCTAGGTTTAGTAATTGCTGACACTGCTTCCTTATCTTTCATAATTTCTTGCCTGGTAATTGGAGCGACATAGTTACAGAATCTATAACAAAATCTAAAAATTCCTTCTATTGGGTCGGTACAAGTTGGGATTTCTTGTAGTTGATTACAAATCCCAGACTTTCTGGGAGATTCTGGGTCGAAGCAGCTTGGTGGAGCACTAGATCTTCTGACTCCGCCATTATCAAAATATCATATCAATAAATAATTAGTCGCACCCCCCTGTCTCAACATGGCCACTACAGGTTTCACCAATTTTGTGAAGACCCTGGGAGCTGTGGCCAGTCCAAAGGGAAGGCATGCAAACTCGAGCATTGTATCTTTCCATAGAAAGCGCAAGTACTTCTGGTGACCTTTCCAAATTGAAACTGTCAAGTAAGCATCTTTGAGGTCTATCTTTACTAGATAATGCCATTCCCTTAGGAGGTCTCTTAACATGTGAATCCCCTCCATCTTGAAGTGCTCGTACACTAAAAATTGGTTTAGCGGTTTCAAGTTCACTACCAGGCGATTCCCTCCATCTTTTCTGGGAACGACAAACAAAGAACTTGTGAAACCTGTTGAGTTGTTGTTCTGGACCTGACGAACAGCCCTCTTGTCTAGCAAGGCCAGCCAGGTTGCTGGGATGAAAGTTAAAGATGCTGACACAAGTTATTTTTGAAAATAATCAAAACAATATCAAAACAACAAAATCGTGCCAGCAAGCGCAATGAAATCTTCTCATAAATTCATCCCGCCAACCTAGCTCCCATATAAACACCCCTTTAGGTGCAAGTTACAAAATATATTTTCACTCCCTGTTCTTGCATTTGGCATCGCCTACAACCACAACCAATGGTGCACCTGTTGTTATATTTGAAAGGGCATGCTTTGGTTGCACATTTGCCTTTGCACGAACAGGAAATTGACTGAGCTGAACCCCTTTCTTCAGGTAATGCTGGCTTTGAGAAACAGGTGTGGTGGTTGGCAATAACTTCGTCCCATCGTGGTCGTTCCTTGCCTTTATTATACCTCTCAACTAACGAAGATGGTTCAGGTGGAAGGACGCTCTTGGAATAAGTTGAAGCTTTCTTGAATGTGGGGTACTGGGACCGCAGCTGTATAACATCGTCAAATATTAGTGATACGTATCCTAAAATGTTAAAAACAGTTTATAGATTTTTTTACTCAGTAATTACAGATAAAACATTTTTACTTTTGAGCAACATTGTAAAATAGCACTACACTCATACAATAAGTTGGCTTTTCGTTCAGTGGTTTGGCTATGACTTTTTCACCTTTGAATGCCTTAGGATAGAAAATTGACGATCTCAGCTTGCCATCTTTTGTCCTAGCTTGTTGTCTTGTGCTACTTTCATTGCATTGTAAGTTTGAACAATACAGTCTAGGTTAGAAAATATGTTTATTAATAATAATATAAACATATTTAAATATACTTGTCAAATGTTTAAAATACGGTCTTCATAATTCAATGAATATAACTTCGAAAAAGTCTGTCTACTATCACATATTAATGTGACTACATGGTGAAGTAGTTCCATGATGTGTAATAGCCAGGGATACCAAAAGGACAGTTTTCAATGTATTACAACTCACCGAGCACTTAGTGAATGATATGAATAATAGGTATTTTTGTGGCCAGTAAATTGTCTAGTGAATGTTTAGCTTCCAAGTCAGAAGTCTGAAAATACTGTGAGAGTTTTCGAATAGCTTTTATAAGTCTTGGCCTAGTAATTACCATCTCTGTTAACATCTTGTGAGCTGCAGATCCTAAAACATTTTATTAGTCATGAATTTTAATTACATTTCATTATATTTAGAGTGTTTTCATTCGAAATTTGTTTTACATATTTATGTTAATATGTAAAAATTTACCTGGTGTCAGCCATGCTCGGTCAATTGTACCATGAATGCATTTAGTAAAAATTTTGTAGTCACTGTGTACATGAATATTTACAATATGGTTTAGGATACTTCTCCATTTTTCTTTCTCAACCTCCCTTGTGCTTGTACTGCCAACCCAGTAGATATCGGTCCTACTAAACACCACAAACCTTATTTAGGTTGAAGGTTGTTATTTAGATGTATTTTTGACATAACAACACAAAGACAACGGGATAGTAACGCTACAAAGCAGTTTTATTGAATGTCCGCGAAAATACCCGCAATTCACGAATGAAACCCACGACCCGCATCTATACTAGGGCATGAAACGATTTTTAGAGATAGATAGTTCTAAGATATATCCTGCTAGTAGAGAACCAATCAGATTGCAGAATACCTCATATCCAGACCTTGTGTATATAATAATACAAGTTATTTAGATCTATAAATTCAGCCACATAGTATAATATTAGTCAAGGTCCGTTTACGTGGGCGATTTTTGCTGCGATTGTCCCCTTTTGGAGGATGTGAAGGAGTAGATTACTTATGAGATTTCATAACCTCGAACATTTATAACTGATCTACTCCTTCACATCCTCCAAAAGGAGAACATCACAACTGAAATCTAATCTTATTATTATTTTTGTGAAACGATTATAACAACCATGTTTTGAATAATTGACTACACAAATTTTCATATGAAGGACTAATAACGTTTTGCAACATATCCGTAATTTGTTTAATTTAGTTACTTTTTAAATACTTTTCAATAATAATCAGAAAATCTTGTATCAGAAATATATGCAGTAATAATCTGAATCCTTTTGTCATTTTATGAAAGGCATTACAAAAGCCTAAAACCGCTTTGTAGCTTTGTTAATCTGTTTATATCCTTCGCGTATTGTCGCGGGTCGTGGGTTTCATTCGTGGATCGCTGGTATTTTCACAGAAATTCGTTAAAACCGCTTTGTAGCGTTGCTATCCCGTTGTCTTTGTGTTGTTATGCCAAAAATACATCTAAATAACAAACTTCAACTAAATAGAGTTCGCGGACGCAGTTTAGTGGGACCCGTAGATATGGTTAATAATGGACTAAAAGAACAAAGATGAATAATAATGTCCCAAAACTCATTTTTACAGTATTTACATTAGCTACTTGTTTCAATCTACAGTATGTCAATTAAAAACCTAGTACTGTACAGGTGTAACAGGACATAAGTCATAACATATACATACACCAATCCAAGGTTTAATTGACTTGAATGATGAACAGTTACTAAACGACTATGATGAAGGAAACAAAGTCGAACAATGCCATATATCAAATTTGATAAGCAATGCTAATGCTGGTCAGTGCCGCCAAATAGAAACAATGTCTTCGCCACAACAAATGCCAACACAATCTTTCAATTATCCACACTGGGCTTCCAGCATAACAAGCAGTTCATCGAGTCAATCCAGTCCGAGCAACCAATTCTACAACTGTAATGTCGTCTACAACATGAACCAAGTTACTTCTCCTGAAGGTCAAAAGCATGCATTCAGATGAATTCTTGAAAGTGATTCCGATTCCCAGGAATAAACTCCTGAAATTTCGACTATTGTTGGATATATCAGTTTGAACATGAACAATTGTTTGTTGTTGAATTTACATCACTGCTTCACTTGAACATTTCGACTTAATATTTCAATTTCATATAAATCTTAAATAATTTATTGTAAACAATATGAAGGAAGACGTTTATAGTTACTTCTTGTACATAGTTTACACGTATAAATAAACTAGATCTTGTTAATTTCAGCTACGTATAATATTTTCAGAAGCACAGTCGCGTGATCGACATCAATACTGGGGGGGGGGGGATAGCAGTAATTTTGTCATGCATATAATAAATAAATAACTCGCCCTGGCAGCTTGTGCAATTTTGGCACATTTTTCAAATATCACTCGTAGTGTTAATACTAATTTTACTTTGGTCAAAAGTTTCTAATGTCATATGCGGTGCAGAAGGTAGTTCTTCAATGTTTAACATAAGTTCAGCTTCTAAAGTTGTCAGAGCTGCATTTACACTTACAGTCGTATTCAGTCCTTGTGATTTGGTCAGGTCTGCCTGTTTGTTTACATTCTGCGTCGTTACTTCCGCTTCTACACTTAAGTTTGCACACAGGTTTGCAGTATCAAATAACTGTTTAAAGCACAGCGATTCTGTTGTTATGTATGTCTGTGTTTTGACTGTGTGTGATTTATTTGTGTGTTTCAGCGGGGTCTGAGTGTGTTTTGATCATAATCGTGGAGCATTTAATGTCTTCGCTATTAGTAAAAGAGATATTTGAACTGCCTGTTATTTCTTCCTCACAAACTGCATCTGAGCCTATGCGAAGGTCTTCTTGTTTATTGCTTAGCTTGCTTGCAATCGACAAATTTTCATCCTCTGTTGATGAACGTGACTTTAACCATTCTTCAAGATTCTAAATTGTGAAACGATGAACAAATATAAGGATATAGAAGAAGCAGAATTTATTAAAGCTATTGTGAAATGTATTTTTAAGTACTGGTACCTTTTGACATTGTCTCCTCTCGGTTTGTCTCCTAGTTCTCTTAGATTGTGACGATGCAGACACGTTAGAAACGCTAGCACTGGTCGTAGGCCTGTCAAGCACTCGTTTTCTCTGTGTATCCAATGCTTGCGAGGAATTGAGGAGAATGCGAGGGTTCATATGCCTCTTCAGCAAAATGAAGCGAGCAAATTATTGTACAAGGTGAGGGTTTGAATGCTTTTCATTTACAAAATTCTACCCAGGCCGCTCTACGGCTCTTCTGCTCAGGAGTTTTGCCGCTTGGAAAACGAAAGAAATTAACATTTTCATTTGTGTTCAGTTGACTATCACTATTGCAGCCGTACACAGGACAATAATACATTGCTTGACTTTCACTTACGTGGTTACGTACTACATGAATGCAATAGTGGAAAAATATATAACATAGTCCATTTGTATTACTTTTTATATGTTTTTTTAGAAAACTAAAGCGTCATTTCCTACCCAACCTCACCCAGAAAAAATGCATGAAAAAGGAAGTGCTTTACAATGTGGTTTTAAAAAATCAAACTTATGTCAACTATTGCATCGTAATCCAAAATTGACGCAACATGTTCGGCGCGCCTCCCTCTAAGACGTAAATACTCATCACATATATTTTCCACAAGGCGAAAGAACGCTTATTATGGCAATTTATAGAAATAAACAAGTCATTTTTATCAATTTATAGAAAAAACAAGTACAATCGTACTATAGTGGACCAGGAACTGCGTGACCCAGTTTTGATCTTGTGGAAATCGTTAAATGTTCAAAACCTTCTAGATTTTGACTTGATAAACAAATAACTAGACACTTGTAAAACTAATAATTCTGAAAATTGCATGGCAGCGTAGACTCAATTTGCTAAATGTTTTGCTTTAATTTGGTCGTGGAAGATATGCTTTATCCAGGCAAAAACATATGTCTAGTATTTTGCCAATGTCACGCGTGCATGTGCCATTATAAAATATTGCAGCTGCAGTCGTGTACGTGCTGTGTAAACAGGATTTAAGTTAAAATAACAAATTATCTGAATTGTTGCTATAGGTTAATGCAGTTTATTTCACTTGGTAATGGCTTCATGCTTGTGCTAAAAACAAATTGACGTGTCTTTGTTTTTATGGTTCGCGATTTTTCGGCTATGCATGACTATGAATATTATATGATAGCCACAGATAGGGTATAGTACTCCTCTACGCTTTGAGAAACGAGGCCAGTGTGTTAAATTAGTCAACTTAAGTCTTAATTTAATTAGTCGTCCACATTCTTGAGAAGCTTTAGATCATTGTGATTGTGTTCACAACGAACAATACAGAAGACAATGTCTTTTTTATCATTTGCGTTTGCTGATATATTTGCTGAATATTAATGATATGTATATATTAATTGCTACGAATACAGTAAAAAATTGCTCATATTTCGCTTCTAAAGTCAAAAATAAAAAATTGAACACCGTCAATCGATGCAGAATATTGCTTAGAATAATTATGTCAAGTTTCATTCCGATTGAGCAAGTAACGACAGAGCCTTAGGGTTTTTTCAAAGAGCGTCACCCCCTAACAACAACAACAAGATTAGCAGCGATTTGGGACCAGTTCCTGGTCCAAAAACAGTATGTAAACTATAGCTATTTACAAAGGCATTATCTGGCCTTATACATTGTATACTCTGTTCCCCTGCCAATGACGTCAGTAAGGTATTTCAGCATAAATTAGCATATCGGGAATTTCTTCAAGATGGCGGACAATATGCATAATTATGCATTGCTTTTTACTCCTAATCGAATAATTTTCATCCCAAATAAAATACATATCCTTATTAAGATAACCAACGTGAACAAAAATAGCCAATAAAAAAAATCTGTTGCCTATGTCCTTTAAGCAATCAGATAAATCCCCGAGTATCTGATGATCAAACAGGATCTGTAAGTGTTAAACTGGCCGCAGAAGTTTCTGGCGACCACGAAGGTGAAGTCATCATTCCATCAAAGCGACCTCGTGGTCCAGATACATTTGACGAAAACGCAGCAGAAAATTATGTTGAAACTGTTGTGATTGATGACAAATTTACTTCCGCTAACTTCCGTTGGGAGGCTAGTGAGGAACTGAGTACATTTCTCGGCACTACTAACATGCGAATAATCAAATTTGATCATAAGACCTTGATGAAATCATACCCGCAACCAGATGTCGACAAGGTTTACACGGCTGCCATGGATGACTTCTTGAAGCCATTCATTCAAGGCATTATGGCTCCTGAGAAACCCCACAAGGATTTACAGGACAATATCCTGGATATGTTTGGCACACTTTCTACCATATACGAGAATTTGTTGGCAATGTTGGATAGCGTTGGCAGTGATGGGGTAATTCAGATGGATAAGACAAGTGTCAATGGTTTCTTATCTTGTGTGAAGCATGCTCTGCTTCTTGTGGGTGACCCATCGGCTGGAATTAGTGTTACCCGAAGAGAGTTAGTGTTGAAGAAGATTAACCCTCTGATGGCTTCTATGGCCCAGGAGCATTTTCCCGACGCAAAACGCCAGCTCTTTGGACATGGCTTTGAGCAGAGGTTAAGACTGTGGATACCATGGCAAAGACTTCCATTCCGGCTTGTATTTTTTTCTTCCTGTTTGGAAAAGAATAACACAAGACTTGTGGGTCTTGCAAGTAGTACAAGGGTATCAACTAGAGTTGTTATCAACTCCAGTTCAGCCGAGTTTGCATCCTCCCAGAGTGTCTAAGTCATCAGGCAGTTCTGAATCAGGAAGTGCAGGCCTTGCCAGTGAGTGATTATATATGGACAAATTTTCATCCCAGTAAGTGATATCTTGGGAACTGGGCGAGCCCATGCAATTCATTTATTGTCCATATAAACAGACAGTAACTCTTGCTTACCATGCTGTCTCACTAGCCCGGCTTCCATATATAAACAGCCCCAAAGTAGAGAATCTAACAAATTTTCCTGGTACACTATATAATTTCATAATAATGTACATATTAACAAATTATGTATATAATAGTTTGCACATTGTTATTAAATCCTTGTATGAGCAGTAAATATGTAACAACGATTTGTTGAGGAAAGTACATCTTGTATTATATTTTAAGTCAATTTTAAAAAGGAAATAAACAGGTTTACATACCTTTTTCGTTTAGCGTATTCAAAGTATGTGTAAAGTCTATCTGGTGGCGCAAACTTTGCACAACTGTCACATATACACAAGATGGGAATGGTCTTCTCTTCTTACCCAGAATCTGAAATATCCACCTTGAACAACGTTGGTAGGCCATTAAACGATACAGTTTATGTATCCTTGCCAAATCGCTATCGTCAACAGGCCAATTTTCTTCCAGATAGCGAAAAATATCCACCTTTAAGATGTTCTCCAATAGCATATTTTCACTGAACTCGGGTAGACAAGTTACGCATGACTCACCGCTTCCTGCAACATTTGTGACCAAAGCGTCGTACTCATCGTACTCTAAAGTCTTTTCGTGGCAGCAAAAGCTTTCTATTGTCTTTGTTTGCAAGGTACAATGGCCACACTTGCAAAGTAGGAGAACTCCCTTCAATTTCAACACTGAGACAAGTTGAAAATAATTTGAAGTTGAAGCACAGTATTTTGAATTAAAACTTGCTGGGTGTTTTGACATTGGACGAAGTCCTCTTTACAATTAAATGTTTGAACAAGAGTTCAAATTAAATACTTTAGACTGAAATGCAAATCTGTACCTATATATAGCTATTGTTGTGTTCTGACATGAATAGTGAACTTTTAGGTAGTGATTATTGCTCTGGAAGCAAGCAAGCCTGACACGAGCGTGCGACGTAGCTGATCTAATTTGTGTAGATGGGGATTTTTATTTCAAAAAATTCTAGCGCAGTGCATATTGTGGTCTTACGCGATTTCTGCGGTGTTTCCACGCTAAGGAACCTTGCGTTCATAGAGATTAAAACATGCAAAGACATACTAGACTTTCATACATTGATTCCAACCCGAAATCCCTGGGGACGAGGTTGTCATTGATTCAGTTCACTTTTCGGGTGTTTTTTTTCTCCCAATTTTATCCTTAATTCGAGTTTGGACGTTTTAATGTTCACATGGAAGCACAAGTATCGGAAGGCCTTCGGCAGTCCGGCTTCCAAATTCTTCGTTCTTTTTGCGTCCATTTGTGCGCCGTTAGCTCAATGGATGTTGGCCACTGTTTGGTTTCTTAGTGTAATAAATCTGTGTATATAATGTGGTAAATGTGTTGCACAATTTGTTAAGTTCATAAGTATATATATATATTGCAACAATATACTGTAGAAGTTATATATCATTATCAGTCAAGGGCAAATTTGTAACAAGCTTACGCATTAAATGTTGACATGTTCTTCTTTCGAACGCAATAAATGCAAATTAAGTTCCTGTAGGTCCAAATTAGGTTAAAATGAGAAAAGAATGTTCTTGCCGTAGGCGTATGAACGCTTGGTATGTTCTTCCTTTAACGTCATCAGTTACATATTTCTTCCTTTAAAATGTATTATATATATAACCATGTATGTAGATTGTAGGTAGTTGTTATAGTCATTGTCGTAGTACGTATCTGAAATAAAGTTGTGTGAAATTTACTGGTTGTCACGATTGAATGAAGAATAGAATACAGTCCCAAGTTAAGCGAGCGTGGAAGACCTATATACTAGCGGGGTTTCCACAACATAGTGGTCCTTCGAGCCGGATAGTGAACTAGAAGAGTACAACCAGGTAAATATGACGGATTTAGCGAAGCAGAAAAAGATACGTGGAGGACATCGAGGCCACGCAAAAAAGCTGATTGGAGAGATCCAAGGAATATTGGAGAATGATGCGAACGAGAATCGTTACGAGTTAGAGCAGTTGAAGGACGCCTTAATCGCGAAAGTGGACGTTCTCAAGGCTCTCGATGATTCTGTGTTAAAATTAATGGAGGATTCGAAGGAAATTGATGAAGGGGAGTTTGGGCAGGAACTGTCTGACGCGAGCGACTGCCAGTTAAAGTATCGAAAGGTAGTTCATCTTGCAGAAATGAAGCTAAATGAAGTGTCATCGGGTAGCGTTACTAGCATAGTTAATATAGCAGGAACGGTCAGTGACGTGGCCAGTACAAACGTTGCCAACGGTGGAAATATTGCGACGGAATCCTCGTCAGTTAAGAACTTCGAAGAGACGATGATATCGACATCACCAACGCAGCCTGTACAACAAACGAGTGGGAGTGTACGTGTGAAACTGCCTAAACTCGAGGTAAAAAAGTTTAAGGGAAGCGTTTTCGAGTGGCAAGAGTTCTGGGATGCATTTGAGAGTTCAATTCACACGAATGTCGGGTTGTCAGACGTCGATAAATTCTCTTATTTGAAAGGACTTGTTGAAGAGCCAGCGAAGTCAGCAATCAGTGGATTTTCTTTGACTGCCGCGAATTATGGATCTGCTGTGGAGCTTTTAAAACGGAGATTTGGGAAACCTGTCACAATACAAAGAGCTCATATTAACGAGCTATTAAATCTACAGGGAGTGTACAAGGAGCGAGAGACGGGGAGGTTGAGAGCGTTATATGACAAAATAGAATGCCATTATAGAGGATTAGTTGCGTTGAAAGTGGGCGAAGCTACGTATTCGAGTATTGTTGTGCCTTCTCTTCTCGAAAAGTTGCCAGAAAGCGTACGATTGACCATCACCAGGGGTGCGGATTTTAAAAACTGGACAATGACAGACTTGTTGGACCAATTTCGCGTTGAATTGGAGTTACGAGAAGAAGCTGTAGTCCTTGTCCCTAACGATGGACGCCAGTCTGGGTATGGGAAACGAGAAAGAAATGTATATACGAACTCTGCTCTGTTTGCTGGCTGGGGAAAGGGAGTTTGTGCATTTTGCCGAGGAAGTCACAACCATGAAGCTTGCCAGAAGGTGAAGGACACCAGAGAACGTAAGAGTATTTTACGAAAATATTCTAGATGCTTTAATTGTTTAGATAAGGGTCACTTGGCCAGAAATTGCATGAATAAAGTAGTTTGCAATAGTTGTAAGGGACAACATCACACAGCTTTGTGTGAGAAGAAAAACACTGAAAGGGACGACGATAAGGAGGGTAAAAACGAGCATGAGGGCCCCAAGGATGTAGTAAACCCAAGTAATATGACATTTGTAGGTACTAGTTGTAGGATTGCGTTGCAAACGGCACAAGCGTTAGTTAAGGGCGAAAGGCAGCGCCGCGTAAGGGTGCTCTTCGATTCAGGCAACCATAAGTCATATGTTACCGCTAAAACTGCGAATCTAGCGGGGTTAAAGGTTCTGCGCAAGGAATTGTTAGGCTTAAGCACGTTCGGCCAGAAAGCCAAGGAGATGGAAGTTAGGGAAGTTGTTCGCGTTGACGTAAACCCTCTAGGTAGTGGCAAGGTGCTCACTCTCGAGGCTTACGTGGTGCCGGTAATTTCACGCGTAAGGAATGAGCACATTGAGGTTGTCAAGCACAATTTTCCTCATCTGAAGGACCTTTGGTTTTCAGGCGTTAACAAAAGCGCGCATGAGTTAGAGATAGATTTTCTTATAGGTTCGGATAATTTGTGGAATTTCCAGCGCGGTCGTATAGTAAGGGGGGAGCCCGATGAACCCGTAGCGTTAGAGACCGAATTAGGGTTTGTGTTGTCTGGACCGTTGAAGGGGAAATGTGGGGATGACAATGATGGGACATTGGTGAGTTTTGTTGCTTCAACAAGCATGGGTGGTATAGCACATGTTGGGAACGTTACTTTGGATGATGCGGTGCATAGATTGTGGGATTTGGATAGTTTGGGTATTAAGGAGACGGACGAGGTTTACGAGGCGTTTGGGGATAGCATAAGATTTGATGGTGTGAGATATTCTGTTAAACTACCATGGAAAGTAGGCCATGCAACATTACCAACTAACTATGAACTCAGCTTATCTAGAATGAAAAGCCAAGTCAAGAGGTTAAGAAAGCAACCAGATATTTTGGTAGAGTATGATAACATAATTAAACAGCAATTAGATGCAGGTGTGATTGAGCGAGTGCCAGAATTAGATACAGCTGAGAAAGTTCACTATTTACCACATCAGGCAGTAGTGAGACAGAATGCGCAGACTACAAAGGTTAGGGTAGTTTACGATGCTTCAGCAAAGGATTTAAAAAGTAACACTTCTTTAAATGATTGTTTGCATATAGGTCCCTCACTTAACCCATTATTGATAGACATATTATTGCGATTTAGGGTAAATAGGGTAGCTTTAGTCGCGGATATTGAAAAAGCATTTTTGAATGTCGGAGTAGACAAAGACGATCGCGATTGTTTAAGGTTTTTATGGCCAGATGTTCCAAACGACA